ATATTAAAATACCCAAGTTAGCTAAATAATATTTATGGAATGTCCGAACCTAGATTATTAATTATTAATATATCAATATTATTTGTCCAAACCTAATTACGAAGCATGATTTTTCGCCAAATAGGATTCTGAAGCACCAGAAGCAGCCACGTAGGCTCAACGCATTCGAGAATTATATATAGGGGGATAATTTTTCTTTGTCGTCCGTTGTAAGGTCTTAAAGTGGAACAAAGTCGCACCAAGAAACATTAGTGATGCCAAATATGGAACTATTTTGGCACAAACGTTGAGGACTTACAATTGCAAAAGCTTACAATATGTAAAAAATATTATAAGTAAATTAAATATGAATATAATAATATTGAACAAATTACTAATAACAAGCATATATATGAATAAAAAAATACATTATATCATCAAAAAAATAATACCAGGAGTTTGATGGATGAATGACGGAGTATAATTGACTGTTAGTGTTTGAAATGTGTTGCTGTAGAAGTATCAAATGGCGTTCCTACTATGAATAATTGACAAAGTTAAAATAAGATAATACAATAAAATTTTAAAAATATAGGATGCAACAACTACATCTTTTATTATAACAATATAACACTAGTACAACGCTCGTGTATTACACATGTGCTTGCTAATTTTTTCCTTAAAATCTAAAATTAATGAGAAAAAGTAGTTGAAAATTTAAATACTTTTATATTAATATATATATATATATTATTATATATTTAGCATGACACTTTTTATTTGTGTGACTTACTTGTGTTATATTATAATAATTTTAACTTACAACATATAATTACATTAAACATAACTATAACAACTGAAATAATTATATTTTTCTAATAAATTTCAATAAATCTTATTATTTTTTATTATTATAAAGATAAATATAATTTATTTATTTTATATATACAATATGGATGTCAAATAGAAGACCATGAAAAGATGATTAATTTGATATATTATATATGTAAAACGAATAAGAAATACAAAAGTTATCAACTTCTAAAATACATTTATAATTCAATAGCTAATTGAAGGAACAAAAAAAAGTCATTGACATATTAGTCATTTAGTGTCTCACTATGTAAAATTACAAAGACTTAAAGGGTTATATTAGTACAAGTGATATTAAAATACCTAAGTTAGCTAAATTTATGGAATGTCCGAACCTAGATTATTAATTATTAATATATTAATATTATTTGTCCAAACCTAATTACGAAGCATGATTCTTCGCCAAGTAGGATTCCGAAGCACCCGAAGTAGCCACGTAGGCTCAGCGCATTCAGAAATTATATATAGGGAGATTTTTTATGCAAAAATAAGTAGGTTTGGAATTTCAATTAATGTCAATATTATTCACATTAAATCCTAATTCGATCTTTTCATTCTTTTCTTCTATAGTCAGTTATCATAAACTATTTTAATTTACCTTACATTAGCATATATTACATATCAGTATCTTATTTAATTCATACATCAATTATCATAAATGTTTATTCTTCTCAATTTAAAAATTTTATAACTTTTTTGGTTTTATATTTTATTTTTCATATATGATATATCAAATTATTTATCTTTTAACGATTTTCGAGTAGACATCTTTATTATATATATATATAATACAAAAAAATGATATATAACCTTATAAATAAAATCTAAAATTATTTATCGGATTAAATTAAAGTAGATCAAATAAAATTATTTTTTATCTTATAAAGAAATATAAATATATGTGTATGAACATACCATAATATAGCTATTTAATTTATTTTGGAAAATATATATAAACTAAGTATGAACATCAAATCAGTATAAAAATATTCTAAAAGTTTATGTCTCTACTTAAATAAAGACTACACTTAAATTGAAAATCATGATCGTGCAAAAAAAAAAAAAAATTAAATAAACATTATAAAAGTAATTATTTTATTTCATAAAGTTTAAAATATTACAAGCATACACATTATATTCTAAATTTTTTAATATTATAAAGTTGAAGATATTTTAAAAAATATTAGATCAGGAAAGAAACTATATAAATATATAATATAATTACAATATAATATAATCAAACTTAAAAAAATTAAATTAATTCAAAATTAAATTATTGAATTATAAATGTGTGTGTGCCCGCGTGCGCGTGTGAGTGCGTGTGTTTGTGTTGTGTTTGTAATTGACAAATTGAGTGTAAAATAAGGTGGTAATTAATGTTGTTATTCTTTAGTTATTAATTATATCTTTGATTTATTATCATTATACTATAAGAATATACATATATTATACTTTTTTATTTTGATACAATATTTAACTTTCAAGAGTCAATGAGTTTCACGAGATTTATCAACTGCAGAATAAATTAATTATTTTATTTTATTTTGACATATATATATATATATTAAATATAACAAATAATACTTCATAAAAATATTTTCTAAAATTCGAAATAATATTGAAAAATAATTTTCTTTTTAATTATGTACCATTTTTTATTTCACAATAAAAATTTTATATTTTCACCTTTTGGTGAACAATTAAATTTTTATGAAATAATATATAGTTTATGGGGGTTGACTAGTGTAATTTAATGACAAATTGTTTGTCTTTTGGGGCTAATATAAAAGTACAATTGGTATATCTGGTACAAATACGCTTCTTATAATCTATAATTAGACATTATTTGGTCAAGATTAGTCAGTTAAGCAAAACAATGACAAACCTAGGCTGTCATAATTCCAAATCTAGTAACCTCATAAGGAGTGACGGCTAAAACACCGCCGGCCTACAACATGGAGCATGGTTTCCTAACCATCTACATTCACAAAGTCGGAATTTCTTGTGCTTCATTAACTATCCATAAATTGGGAGGCCAAATTACATATGCAGACTAGGGGCATTCTCCACCCACCCACCCCTTAAATTTTTAAGAGAAAATAGTTATTTTCACTCACTATGAAAGAGAGTTAAAATTTTCACAATTAAAATAAAAAAATTCAACTTTATCACTCCAATAAATGTAAAATAAATTATGTAATAAACTCTGCGACAAACAGATGTAGATAATTGATAAATTGCAATATAAGTATGCAACAACGATGTGACACACAGAAGAAAATAACTGAAAGTGTGTACTTATGCGATAAACTATGTTGCAGACAACGAAGATAATCAAGAAAGTGCGAAATAATTATGAGATAACCGATGCGACAAACATTTTAAAACAATCGAGCAAGTGCAAAATAATTATGCGATAAACTATGCAATAGAAAGGAAAAAATAATTTATAAACTGTGAAATATTTACGCAATAAAATATATGACAGACATGCAGAATTAATAGATAAAGTACGAAATAATTATGAGATTTATGTATGCGACAGACAAACGAAGCTAAGTGGACAAGTGTGAATCACTTATGCGATAAACTATGCTACAAAAAGACGAAGTTAATCGAGCAAGTGCGATCTCATTATGCGATAAATTAGGTGAAAGACAGGCGACGTGATAGTCGAGCAAGTGCGATTTCATAATGCAATAAACTTAGACATGTCAAAACGAGCATGGAGGGTCTCCGCCCTCCCATTGTCGCTGCACGCATGAAATTATTCATCAACTTGAAGTTTGAAAACTTATTACTTTCAGTACTGAATCTCAGATCCTCAAATGTGAAATGTCACTCAGTTACACATAACTCTTTTGACAATTCCGTGTTATTTCCGTCGATCGAGGCTTATTTTTTGAACTTTTAGGGAGCGATTGGATATGATTTCAACAGTAAAAAAATCAATCAAAACTTAAATTTAACTCAACTTTAACCCAACTCCACTATCTCCAATATTATCAATATAATTATATAACATCAAACAATCATTCTTACACATCATATCAACTTTAATTCACTATTCACCCACTCACATAATTTTAACAAACGATCACTTCCAATCATTTTTATCCTATTTTACATCAAATCAACTTTAATTATTTTATTTAAATATTATTTTAATATATCTGTTGTGACCATTTTTG